GCCCAGAACTGTGTGTCTCCCCCCTGCCTCCCCCCCCCCCCGCAGACCCTCAATGGGGTGGACGATTGAAGGAATAAAGAGGTATCTGAAAAAAATCTGAAAGCACATGTTGATTAATATAAGTATCTCTCAGCACAAAGAGGATTATGGAGTATTTGTAATATTTTGTTTCTTGGGTGCTGGTTACATTGATGTGTCCCGTGTGAGAAAATTCAGTGAGCCATACCCCAATGTTCAGGGTACTTCTCTGACTATATATTATTCTTCAGCAGAAAGTTTAAAACACACACACACACACACACGGACCGATTGAAGGAATAAAGAGGTATCTGAAAAAAATCTGAAAGCACATGTTGATTAATATAAGTATCTCTCAGCACAAAGAGGATTATGGAGTATTTGTAATATTTTGTTTCTTGGGTGCTGGTTACATTGATGTGTCCCGTGTGAGAAAATTCAGTGAGCCATACCCCAATGTTCAGGGTACTTCTCTGACTATATATTATTCTTCAGCAGAAAGTTTAAAACACACACACACACACACACAACCACAAAAAAACTAAGCACTGTGATCATCCAAAGACAGCATTATTTGAGTGAAATACAAGTTTCTAAGTGGGAGAAAATATTGCAATACAAAGGCCTCAGAGTGAGAAAAAAATACCTTCCATAACTCAATAAGAAAAAGAAAGACAAGTCAGGAGGAAATGTGCAGAATAAGAAAAAAAGACAAGTCAGGAGGAAATGTGCAGAAGATGAGCTTCCCAGACAGAAAAATATCTGTCATTGGTCAAGGACATTGCATTTGCTCCTCATAACAGCCCTGGGAAGAAACACAAGGACAAAAAAATTTGGGGAAAACACATAACAAGAGTCTGAAGGCGTTTATCCATAGTTACCCAATGGTTCCACTTCTAAGCATCAATCCTTGAGAAACACAGCTGGAGATAAAGATTTTAGTACAGATATGTTCACCTCAGCATTAAATATTGGGTGTATAAATAAAGTATAATCAGTTTAAAGGAACAAATATTTATGAGCTTAATGCACTCACTGTCATTGACACAAAATAGGCGTGAAGCATATGGTCCCTAAGTGTCCTCTGTTCAATAAAAAATA